TAGCTATAGTATATAGACACATAAACAATATTTCTAAAATACACTTGTAATTCAACTATGAACTTAAGAAATTAGTGTCTATAATACAAATTTTATGTTTTGAATTATGTTTGAAAATTGAGGTTTTATGATGAAGGCACACAGAATTTAAGCTTGTCTTTATTGAAATATTATATGAGACTCTACACATTTGAAGTATATTTGGAATGAATATCATCTTGAGCAAAATGATTTTAAACTTGATATTGATATTAATCTTAATTTCCCACAATACAAGTACATGTTTAATAAATAAATAACAATTTTGGTAGGCTACAAAGCAATTTCTCACCAGAAGTTTCTCAAGAATTTAACATTAATTGAAGCTCTATGTTTTATCCATTAAGTGACCTAGGCCAACAATGCCTGCTCAATGTCAGCTACTTGGGGTTGACTATGAGACAAGGAAGTTTTCAGACAGTTTGCAGACATCTCCCAAGGGTAACTGTGTGCTAGGAATGGAATCTGGTAGTATAATGGTGATGGAAGAACTTTAGCCCCAGATTCCTGCAGGGAGACAGTTAATTGAGGTGGTCTTTTATTGAGTAAAGATAGTATCATTGTTTTTAGCTGCTTCCCAAAAGGGAGGCAGAAGAGATCAAGATGTTGTTGCTCATTTGGAAAACCTATAATGAGAAAAAAAGAAAACCCAGTACAAATTCTTCTCTGAATATCTTCAGATGAATGAAGCTGACTCAGGTTGGCTGAAAAGCATCCATTTGTGGTCTACATTATTATCCTGGTCAGACATCTCTGACCAACAGTAACCATTGGCTGTTAGCTTTTCTTTATACCTCATTTTTTTCCTAGGCTAGGCCTTTTTACTGTCTACCTTAGGGTTTACTCCTGGAGAGATTTTAAATGACCCATAGTGATACATGAGCTATGTTATCTTTATTTGCAGAGCAAAGCATTTACACTTTAACTCCAGTCATGGATACTTTTTGAACAGCCATGGTTGTTTTGAACCCGATTGTTAACTGGAAGTGGAGGGACACTCTCAACTTTTGTGTAAAATATAGTAGTACCCAGGATCAAAGGAGGGGAGAAAGACACGGAAAAGTAGGATCCTGATTCCTAAGGGTGATAGGCACTAGGGCTCTGAGTGCAAGAACAATCCAGTTCCCTTAGAGAGTTAAGAAAGAGTGAAGAGGCCGGCGCCATGGCTCACTAGGCTAATCCTCCGCCTTGTGGCGCCGGCACACTGGGTTCTAGTCCCAGTCGGGGCACCGGATTCTGTCCCGGTTGCCCCTCTTCCAGGCCAGCTCTCTGCTGTGGCCAGAGAGTGCAGTGGAGGATGGCCCAAGTCCTTGGGCCCTGCACCCCATGGGAGACCAGGAGAAGCACCTGGATCCTGCCATTGGATCAGTGCAGTGCACTGGCCGCAGCGTGCCAACCGTGGTGGCCATTGGAGGGTGAACCAATGGCAAAGGAAGACCTTTCTCTCTCTCTCTCACTGTCCACTCTGCCTGTTTAAAAAAAAAAAAAAGAAAGAGTGAGGAGACCAAAGGAAAAGAGATGACATCAACATTTTTCATTAAGTAAGACTCCACCATTAATTCACAAACTTGAAAGTGCAAATGATAAAATATCAGCAGTCGATCCAAATTTAGATAGGTATATCACGATTTAAATGAGATCAGGAAGAATTTGCTCCATGATAAATGTTATAACAAAAAAGAGACAATGCCTACCAATCATCATCACAGTTCTTCACTACTAGAAAAGCATCCACTAATTGCAGCAACATGATGTAGAGACATGGTCTCAACTGGGTAAGTTTGTCTTCCTGGAAATTTGTGAATTATCTGGAGACATTTCAAGCTTCACATAAGGGACTGCACTGTCTTTTAATTGGTAGATGTCACCCTTCATAATACAGTACTTTCCTGTGCTTCAACTAAGTTTGTACTGTTAAAGATGTGTAAGGTGTTCAGGTGGGAATTTAGACATAGGAAAAAATATATATTTGCTCCACTTTAGAGTCTTCACCTCTTAAAACACTTTTGCAAAAGTACGGGATGTTTTTGTATCATGAACAAAGTTTTCAGAGAAGAGTGGGCTTGGAAAGCAGAATATTAAGAAAACACCTGATATCTTTACCTTGTGTTATGGTCTGCGTTTTCCTCTCCCTTAGATTGTGGCTAGCTCTAACTGACTGAGCATGCAAAAGCTAATAAACTGGCACTTGCATTGTTATGGTATTGTATATCAGGAACCACCTGGAAAATTTCAGGGCTTCCTTTTCTATCTGGCTTTTGGCTTTGGATCAGCATAGCTCTGGCCTCTGAGAATAATTGGGGAGTGAACCAGCAGATGGAAGATCTCTCACTTTCTCTTTCTCTGCCTCCCCTTCTCTCTCTTTAAAAGTATACAGTTTCAAATGTATCAAGAGAGAAAAATAACAGAAATTAGCCATTTCCATTGATTCATTAAAAGTCAATCAGTATGTAAACAACAAAGAACTACATGAACATAAATAATTTTCAGTAATTTATTTAAAAATGACTAATTAAGCAGAGAAATAAATGAGAAACATCATCCAGGGAACAAAGGATGAATTTCTATTTTAGAAATCAGATATGAGTATTTAAATAGAAAGATTACATATAAAATTTGTCATTAAGTCCCTCACAGCAGAAATGCACCAGAGAAAATTTTCTGGGCACTGTAATGACAATAGAAAACATAATGTAAAATGTAACCACAAAAGCTGATATGTACCTACATGTACATTTAATGAAGACTGTTTAAGTTAACTTACAATTTAAACAAGAAATTTAGAAGGATTATTTTTGTAGATTAATGAGAAGGTTAATGAGGAAAAATGATGATAAAAGATGAAATCCTCATGTCCTGAATTGCACATCTCTTCCCTCTCTTATTCCCACTTATATTTAACAGCGATCACTTTTCAGTTAAGTTTCAACACTTGAGAATAACTGTGTATTGATTACAGTATTCAACCAAAAGTATTAAGTAGAACAAACAAAAAAATACTAAGAGGGATAATGTATTAAGTTGTTCATCAACAGTCAGGGCTTTACTTAATATATGCTAAACTGATCTTCTGTATATAAAGAGAATTGAAAATGAATCTTGATGTGAATGGAAGAGGGGAGAGAGAGGGAAAGGGGAGGGTTGCAGGTGGGAGGGAAGTTATGGGGGGGGGAGCCATTGTAATCCATAAGCTGTACTTTGGAAATTTATATTCATTAAATAAAAGTTAAAAAAAATAAAAACATCTTAAATACAAAAAAAGATGAAATCCTGAATTCAGAAAATAAGCCCACCAATATTAATTTAAAGCTATAGCAAAACTAATTCTGAACTTGTATATAGGTACCATTCTTGACAAGGAGTGTAATATTTCATAGGTTTGTGAAGAATATGAAATCAGTTTTATAGTGTTAAAGTTATATTCTATCAATAATCATTATTACCCTGTAGTGCATTGGTGAGGAGGAGTGTGTTCCAAATAATAGGAAAAGGGGATTTCTCGTGAAATATTGTTGTCTAATTCAGAAAATCTATGTGAAATGCCATTCTCTATATTATTGATAATTGCACTTTTGGAGAAAAATGTTAGCAACCTAGATTGGAAAAAGGTAAAATATTCAATGCTATTACATTCATTTGTCTAATAAAATTGGAATAAAATTTTGGGGACTCCCAATGACAAGGAAAATGGTCTAGGGAAAATAGCAAACAAATAAGCAAATATTCCATTCATAGAAGATTCACCACAAATATGACAAATTAATTTGCATAGTTCATATTGGAGGTATCAAAAGGCATTAAAAATAACTAACTTCAAAATTTCCAAGATTATTTCTTACTTATATGAGAATCAATCTTTACATTATTTTTCATATGAGAAATAATGTACCAAAATGAAATTCCACATTACCTAAGCTTCAAACACATGGATTATATTTTTAACATGTAAGTCAATATAATGGGGATCAGGAATCACAAAAAATAGCATTAACGTGAAAATGACAAGAAACTATATGCATAAAAAGGCATGTTTGGAAAAAGAAAGTAAATAACTAAAAGTATAGTGAATCTACTTAATATAAAACATGTTGAACATTATACAGTTAGTGCAGTCAAATACAATGAAGTTAGATTCATACAATTTTTAATATAAATTTACATAGACAAAGGTTAAAATGAAAAGGAATTAAATAACCTAATTGTTTCTCTGAACTATGGAAACAAAATAAAAGACAATATTCTAATTATTTATATTGTGTAAGTTTCAAAACTTGACCACAAGACAAAATCCATGAATTCACAAGTTGATTGTGTAAAAAGTGAAAATTTTATAAAAATGCTTAACTAATATTCACACTTTGTAACATCAAAGAGGAAAATAAGATTGACAGAAGTGAAAAAAGGAGGACTACAGTCTAGAAAGACAAGAGCAAAATTCCCATAGTTGTATAGTGTGAAAACAGAAATAAATATTGACAGATCACAGAGAAACTGTCATTATTGTAGAATTTGATAGTGATTTCATATGCCTTCAACAAAGAAAACTAAATTTAAACTACTTTCTGCAGTAAGAAGATCATTTCTTTACTTCTTAAAAGAAAAGAAGATCTTGGGATTAGGTACCAAAAGAAAATTCATAGGTGCACACACCAAAAAGAGAAAGATTTCTTTCTGCATTAAGTTAAGAAAGTACAAAGGATAAAGCTTCAATTCATGAAGACCATTGAACTAAGAGAGGCACATGGTCTTTGGCGTGTCAAAGTAAAAAAAAAAAATTAGATGCAAGTAAAAAATACAAGTAAAAATCCACATGTATAGATTATACTTTAAAATCTTGAATTTTTAACTTTAATTTTTTTTAATTTTTTATTTTTTAATTTTAATTTTTTAATTTTTAAAATAATTAAAATTTAAAAATATTTAAAATATTACTATTTTAAAATATTTAATGGATGTTATGATTTGTTTTCAGATTTGTTTCATTGACTTGATAAAATGGATGTCATAACAATCATGTTTTGTAGAATACCAATTATTCTTTTATCAGCCCTAATAAGCACAAAAGGACTGACAGTGGTATAGACATTTCCCACAAGTCTCTGGACACCCAGGACAATTGTATCATATTTCCACAATATGGTTGAGAAGGATGACATTATAATATCCACACAGTACACAATCACAAAGAAACTCACCAACAGCAGGACAGTATGGGTGGCCCTTTTTGCTAGAGAGATTCTTGGTAAAATGCTCATGCTGTGAAGGTACTCAGATCTTCTCTGATGATTATTAGCTAGTAAAATCGCCATGTATGCACTGCAGAGAAGCATGATTCCTACAAAAAAGATATCCTGTGACAATGTGAGAATAAAAAATATTTCCCTGATGATAGAGTTTATTGAGGAAAGTGAACAGTACTTACTGACATGGAGTAGATGGGTAATGTTTGAATGAGCTACAGTGTACATTATCATGCTACTCTTGGAGGACAAGTTCAAGGACCAAAAACAGAAGAAAGCATGGATAGTGTAATTTGTGAGTTTTTGCTTAAATCTTATCATGCAGGAGGTGCTGGGGCTGATGGAAATGACCTGAATGATCCTAAGGAGGCAGGTGGTACAGATGGAGAGACCCCTCATCAACCTGATCATATAGAACAAAGCCTTACATTTTAAATTATTTGGAAAATTCAGTGACTTGAACATGTCTGCAGATAAAATATCCAGTGTAGAGAGTAGCAACACTATGCGGACAAAAGTCAGGTGACAGATGGTCACATCAGTAGGCTTAGGCCTATGAGTGTGGTAGATTGTGAAGATGTGGAAGAAAAGAAGGAAGGCATTGGCTAAGATTCCAATTCCAGCTTGGAAAAAAACCATATTTCTTAATAACATAATTGGAAATTTCATTGATCTTAACAGCGTAGAAGAAACATGTTAGATACCTGAAAATCAAACAAAAAGGTGACCTATCATCAGTAGTTTTTCTGTCATGAAAATAATCAAAAATCATTTTTATTTTGCCCACTTACTTCTAACAAATCCAGTTTATTTTATATAAATTCTTGGTAGTAAAATTCTAAACTACCCTCTACAATAAATGAAGTTTTGTCACAACATCCATTTTCTGAACCCTTTGAATATCCCTCTATTTGTAGATTTCAAAAACTTTTGCAACAAAATAAATGTGTTTTTAATTTGTTTTCCTGTAAACTTTTTGAAGCATTCTGTTTAAACACACACACACACACACACACACACAGAGCAAACAAAATTTGTATTCAGCAAAGAATGGCTGAAGTAGAAAATTCCTCTACAACCATATCACCTGCATGAGTAATATGTCAAAGGACACATTTTCCAGGTGATTAAGCACTTGTTGAAATTTCTTCAAAGGCTAATATACCAAACATATTTATGTATCAGAGCTGAAGAACTTATTGTTCCATAAACATACATCTGCACCCTCTGGACAATATAGATCCAGGAAAAGCCCCAGGATCATATTGACTAAAGGACTATTTCCATGTTTGAAGGATCATAATCAATTCTATTCCATTAATTAATGTTAGCATGGAGTAATATCTATGCAATTCTTATAGCTGTATATGTATATAATTACATTGATCTACTCCTACTACTATTAGCAATTCAGTAAGAGACACAATAATTACATAAACAAGTAGATAAGTGTTTAAATATTTTATTCTTACTGCATAGCAATATTTGGATGTTTCTCTCTAACTTGTATCCTTCATTCTGTAATTGCCCACCATTCCCTGAAACAGATTTGATCTCACAGATCTTCAGTTGCTGTCTTTTTAAAATGAGGCTCTTGGGTAACATGCAGCCAGAATGAGGGAAAATCGTGGTTGATGTGGAAGGTCATTAACAGATGAAGTACAATCACTTACATAATTTATTTTGAAGAGTTGTCTAAATTCCCCAGATTAGGTGGTCTATACCATATGTAAGAATACAAAAATAATATTTATTGTATATTTACATTTTAAACTTAATTTAACATCATAAGTTTTTCTGTGAGTAATCTGACAGTCTCATCATTTCATGATCACTGAATTTATAATAAAATTCTACTGATGTGTGAGAAATGGAATAGAAGAAAGTTTGAGCATGGTCACCTATAATTCTGTCAGAGTGTAAAGAATAATTGGGTCCTTTGTTGAACAAGGTAACTACTTAAAATCTGGATGTACAGCTCAGTTATCACTCTAAGAAGTGACAACCTGTGGATACTTGGTCTGAAGGTGAAGCCCATGAACAGTCTCAGGATACAGAAAGTGTGGACGACATTCATTTGCTTTATTCTGGCTTTCAACTTATACTCCAATGCACAAAGGTAATCCTGGATCACAGTGAGGATAATACCACAATTAAATGAACCAGAAATCAAAAGATTGATAAAATTTCTGGGCTTAGGTTAGACATTCACATAAAACAAAAGAACTGTAATGACAGACAGAAGCCACCTGCACAAACTCAAATGCTATTTTTAAATGCACAAACATACACACATAAAGTGTGTGTGTTTGTGTCTGTGTGTGTGTGTGAGAGAGAGAGAGAGAGAGAGAGAGAGAGAGAGAGAGAGAGAGTTATCTTCCACCACTGGTTCACCCCTCTAGATGCTCACAAATAAAGAAAATTTACATACCTTAAATAAAAATTTTAAAAAATAAAATAATTTTAAAGAAAAAGTATCAAATTATGTTTTCTTTTACTTGTTTATTTAATAAACTTGAATTCTACAGCATGTCCATAATCATTTATTATTCCAAGAGCTTTCTAGTTCATTCTTTGAAGTTTTCCAAATAGAAATTGTGTCTTCTGTGAACATATTCTTATCTCTGTGCAGAAACTCCAGTAGCGATTACAGTGCTGTCTTGTGGTTCATGGTTTTCTGATGTTATTAGATAGTTTAGGATATCTTGGTCAAGATCTTGGATGAGGATGGATGAGTATAATACCTTCATTAGGAGGCTGGAAGGAGTCCTTATGTTGTTATTCCAGATTGCAAGTCATATCAAAAAATAAATGAGAATAAACTCAGGACAGGAAACCCAAGGATAAGCCTGGTATGATGATGAGAGTGCACTGAGCAGTTATGGGGCAATAGGAGCTGTGAGATATAGGGATAAGTTATGTGTGCTGTTAATGGACTCTCCAGGACCTTTGCATGCACTCATCTAAGTTTGTTTCTCTTGACAATCAGGCTAGCGTCACATTTACCTGCTTTAGAAAATATTTAAGTATGCCAACTGCCATGATTTTAGACCTCTCAGGTACAGTTTCTCATTCCTTAATTGGCATCATCTTTTTCTTTTTGGGCTGTTAACTTCATTTGTGAAGAATCAGATAGTCCTAACCTTCATTGGGTAAATGACCTGGTCCTGCCCTGTTAAAGTGGGAATCTTTATCCCCAAGCTGTGGGGAGACTGAAGCTCACAGTAACCTCTTCAATTCAGCCCATCTCCAGCCCCCAGATGCCTGACCTGGAAGATCTAATGCTTCCCACGAGCATGTGTTTTGTCTTGTGAGCAGTGAACTCTCAAAACAGTGTGACAACAAGCATATTTCTGTTTTTCATACAATTTTGTGTTTTGCCTGGAGTCAATAATTATGTTAGCATAATTTTCTGTGTACTTATCAGGTAACTGCACATACCACAGCTACTATGCTGTATGATACACACAGTTTATGAGGTGTCTGTAAGTATTGCTAAAATTTTCTGAATCTAGGTACTCACATGTTGAATAAAATATTAGCACACTAGGCAGCATAACATTTTATTGCTTTAAAATCCCAAAATTTTCATTATCAATTTGAATGCAACTTTAAGAACTTTATATCTATATCTTTATATAGAATTGTTACTCCATTACTGATTTTATCAAGTTAGCTACTACATCCTATAATCAAAATCAAACATCTTCTATAAATGAGAAATTTTCTCATTTTACCTTAGACTTTATTATTCCTACCTGAATAGCTAGCTAAGAAAACCCTACTTTATGACCATCCTAACACAGATACCATGAGTTTCTTTATCATTATATGATCTTGCTCTAAGTGCTGCAAGTTGTCCTAACTCAGGTTAACAGGATTTAAGCATTGGAAGGCCAGCAGAATCGTTATCAGTAGTGGATATATGTTTGTTTGTTTTTTATATTCTTGGATCTGTTAACTAACTTCCGTTTTTTTAAATTTTCCAAAATGTATCATACCACATTTTTGCATTTCAGCAAATATGCATGCATATGTTTGTCTTTTAATTATGGTACACCCTAAAATATTCATTATTGGTAAGGGGAATCAAAGCAGAAAATTACTTTGTCATGTCCATCAGATTTATTTTTTTAATTTTTTCTTTTGTTTTATTATTTTTATCCCATATTATCAAAATTAATAAGCTCACCAATCTTTTCACTACAAATATACGATTGTTCTTTTGGGCCTTTACATTTTAACATGATAAATTCACTGAAAATTGTTTGACTTGTCCTAGCAACTTCCATCTTCATGGTCTATCAAATCATTTTAGGATGATATGTGCTTTTACACATTTGATGAAATACCTTTTCACATGTTTATTTTTTAGTCTCACCATTTGCCATTCACTTTAAAATGCCCATGCATTGGATTGAGACACTATTTCCACAGTTTCAAGATTATATGTGGGAATATGAGGGGAAGGAGGAAGAAAAGTTGGAGGGTGGGAGGGAGGAGAGGGTCATATTGCCATGTTCCTAAATCAGTATGTATGAAACACAGGAAACCTGTATATATTAAATAAAATTTCAAAAAGAAAAAATATTATTGCAATAAACTGGGGCTGGAAATGTTGCATAGCAGGTAAAGCTGCCACCTGCAGTGCTAACATCCCATATAGGCACCAGCTCATGTCCTGGCTGCTACACTTATGATTCAGCTCTTTGCTATGGCCTGGGAAAGCAGTAGATGTTGGCCCAAGTCCTTGATCCCCTGCACCTGTGTGGGAGACCTAGCGAAACCCCTGGATCCTGGCTTCAGATAGGTGCCGCTGAGGGGTGAACTAGCAGATGGAAGACCTGTCTCTTTATCACCTTCTTTTTCTGTGTAATTCAAATAAATAAATCTTTAAACAACAATAAAAAAGAAATAAACTGCTTATGATTCCCTTGTTAAATGACTGCAACATTTTTGTATTTTAAATTAATTTTGACTATTTAATTTATATCCATTATATCTTCTTGTGAACCCATTCTGCTCCTATAACATTCCCCACTGGTATACCCAGTAGTCAAAATATAATACACATAGAGAAATGCACATTTATCTATTGTATTTGAATTTATATCTACCACCTGACTAAATACTCAACCTAATTTATGTCAAATCTAGCACAAGAAATTTCAGGGTACATTATTTTGCTTTGTCTCTGGTAAGGCATCATCTGTCTAAATTCTAGAAAATGCCTGAGCAAAGTTCATGTTCACACTATTTGAGAACAATCTAATGTCAGTTCCATCACTCTTACTAGCAGTCTTTTTAAGCCTTTATGTATTATCATGAAGCTTTAACATTTCATGAAGGGCATTAGGCTATTTACTTGTTTGGTCTTTGAATTCATGGAGCTCACTTTTTTTGGAATGTTGAAGCAACCCAGCATAACAAGGATAAATATCATTTGGTCCAGATGGATGATCTTTCCGATACATTTTGGAGTTGATTAGCTAGTATCTTGTTGAAGGGTTTTGCATCTATGTTCAGTCTTGTTTTATTTTTTTCAAGTTTAATTATTCCTTTCATCCTACTAATTTGGGGATTGGGTTTTTTTTCTAGGTCCTTGTGATGCAATGTTAGACCTTTCTAACTTCTTGATGTAGATGCTAATTGCTGTAACATTTCCTTTTAACATTCCTTATGCTGGATCCCATAAATTTGGATATATTGTGTTGTTATCTTAATTTGTTCCTCAGATATTATTATTTCCATTTTTCATCCACTGTTCAAAATGGACATTTGTTCAATCTCCTTGTGTTTGTAAACTCCACAGTTGTAGGGTGAACCTGTACTATAGGTGTCAATTAGGTTCCTTTGGTCTGTTAGGAGATTAGTCATATTTCTTCATTTAATTTTGAATATTTCATATGTGCATTGACAAAAGGTAGGTGTTAAAGTCCCCCATTATTATTTTTAAGACTTACTTATTTATTTGAAAGGCAGCATTACAGAGAGGCAGAGGTAGAGAGAGAGAGATAGAGAGAGAGAGAGAGAGAGAGAGAGAGAGGAGTCATCCATCCGATGGTTCAGTCCCCAGATGGCTGCAAAAGCAGGAGCTATACTGATCCAAAGTCAGAAACCGGGAGTCTCTTCCAGGTCTCCCATATATATATATGGCGGTGACCAAAACTTACAGAATCAAATCACTTCTCAGTAATTAACCAGATAACCAAGCCAACAAAGTAACTGGAGACCTTTGAAGGAGAACAGATCAACACATATGAGATGTTTAGAATGTAGTCACTGGGCATACAGACACAGGAGAAAACCCTGAGATGTGGTAATATTGGTTCCAGAAACATAAGGAGGACAATGGCTATAGGTAAATGGCATTGAGACATCTGATAAAGACAATTGCTTCAAACATTGGCGTAGAGATATCTAAAGTCTTGCATGATATGGAATCTCAGGAAATAAAGTCACTCCATGGTAGGCTCAACACCATTCTGAAGAAGGAATGTAGATAACTGATAGAAGATCAAGACTACATGCATAGAGGCTGGAGCACACAAAGATCATCATTGAATGCAGAGTGGAGACAAGCAAAGAAAGTTCTGCTATAGACACAGGGGTGGAAACTCATATGACTGGCACATGGTGTAGGTACAAGCGATGGTAGGAACTTTTGAGAGCTGATATAGATGATAGATTTTAAAAATAACACAATAGCAGCTCTTTCTCCTGAGCATACCTGTGTTGCTTGTCAGTGTGCCTTCTGCTTTAAATAAGTCTTGCCTCTATTCATTTTCCTTAAATCTCTTCCTTGAGTCCTTCTGGATAGGGGTCAGTACAAAACCTAAGAGACCGTAGATTTTGAAATAGATGATGAATGGTGACTAATATTCTGATAAGGTAAATCCCAAGAAACAATAAACCATGCAGTTATCTGAGCCTTTCAGGAAGGAAGGAAGACCACATGCTGCTGAAAAGAAGAGGGTGAAGGGTCTCGGGAGGATGGGGTGACAGGTGGGGTTAGTGTTGAGGTCTGGGAAGGTGCCGAAGGTCGTGTAGAGCTTGCAGGCCCTACGAATGCTTCAGACTTTTACTCTCAAGTAAAGAAGGCACTGAAGGAATTTGACCTCACTTCAATTTCACAGAGATGTCTCTAGTTGCCTGCTCTGGGTTTCAGGAGGGAGGCAGCTGTGTCCAACCATAACCTGAAGGATTAGTCCAGATGAGAGGTGCAGGGGCTTGAGAGCAATTGTGGAAAGGGAGAGGAACTCCTGCGTGTCCACCATGATGCATCCTTTCCTCAGACTTCCATCAGTAGCCCCAACTCACTGCAGTATTGACATCTCTGATGTCCTCCTCCTTTCCTGTCCAAAACCTTCTTCATGTGTTATTTCCTATCCTCTTCATACAAGCACTTGCTGCCTAAATCCAACACCTCATCTGTGAAACCTTCTAAGAGGCAGTCGTAGCTTGTGCCTGACCCAGCTTCTCTAAGGAAGCTTCTAACTTATGCTTGGGGAGAACATACAAACCAAATCCAGACTTTTCTAGGGCTCTAAAAATAAAAAAAATTAAATTAAAATAGGACAACAGACAACTCGAGTCACAGTGAAACAGAACTGTAGGTTTAGGACATCAAAATTGATTATGATGGTAACTATGACAGTACAATAGTTTCCATGTTGTCACAATTTATGTTGCCATAAAAAGTGTTTTATGACTTTACGATGATATGTTTATGTTTTTGCTAATCATACATCACACTTTATGGCATATAC